CCTAAACCCTAAACCCCAAAAGTTCGGCTCTAGAATAGAGCCCTAAACCCTAACCTGAATAGAGAAACTCCAAACCCCTTTTCACATACACTAGGCTTCCTCGGCCCGCTACCTACAGTGTGGTCATACCGGGTTTAGGGTTTAGGGTTTAGGGTTTAAGGTTTAGGGGGGAGGCCTACTTTTCTGCATGGCAGATCCGAGCCATGAAACTAGGAACCCAAACAACGTGTTAGGGTATGCATGACCCTCAAGCCCATTTGCTTAGGAAGAAAGGTGCTGGGGGGGCTTGCGTTAACGGCATTAGAATCATGATGTTCCAACCTTCTGGCTTCTACTTGCGACCCTAAGTATGATGAAAGATATGCCTTAGCCTCTCTATAAAGCCCATACTAATTAGAGGTTTCCTCGTGGCCATCCTCAGAAGTCGCCAGGCTTTCTCTCCCGGAACTTCCTTTCGAGCCATGCATTACGCTCCAAAGTCTTTTTACAAAATTCTACAGTTTCCCCTAATCTCTGTGACTGACGTAGCGGTCAGGGTTTTCTGCTCCAAGGTTTAGAGTTCGGGTTTGGGGTTCTAGAAATCCGAACCCCAAAATCCTCCACTCTCTAAAGCCCTAAAGGCCAAAACCCACCGTCAGCTCTAAATTCCACGGCAGGTCATCCCAGCGACTGCCAGTGCCGACCTCGCCGCACGTCTCCGTGAGCGGCAAGATTCACTCGAAGGTGCCAACAGGGCTTCCCTTAAGGACGATGTGTACCCTTTAAAAGGGCTTAAGGTTCAGATGCCCTACATGAGCTCATATCATCAGGGTATAGGGCACTTATGTTTAAGGATCATTTGGTCCGCAAGGGGCGTCTAGGGTCTGGAGTCGTCCACTCGCGGAATTACTACTAACCTTCCCGAAATGTCCGGGTATCTCCTTAGGAGGGTCCGAAATCTCCTTGAGACAGCCCTTGGTCGCCTTGGGTTTCAGAAATTCCACATTTTGAGCTAACTGTCAACCCTAAACCCTCAACCCTAAACCCTAAACCCAAACCCTAAACCCTAAACCCTAAACCCTAAACCCTAAACCGTAACCGGAGGGTTATGACAGAGTCCCCTTTGACCCGTGATCCTCTACGATTAGAGTGTTCCTTAAGAACCCAAAACCTACTT